TGATCAAAGTGTAAAGAAAGAATAAAAAGGTATTATTAGGCTACACACAACAAAGTGTAGGCACCTGGAAGAGTGCAGAAGAAACTGCTGGTTTCCTACATATTTCAGCACTCAAGCCACCTATGGTATAGCTTTAGCATAGATGACAATACACACTGAATTAGTTAAGCTCCTCATATTATCACTTAAAGTTACAAGCATCATTCAATAACAGAAAAAAACAACAATTGACTTATTATCTACGTTGCCTAATCTTAACAAAACAAAACATTATTTGCATTTTACTTTTACACTTATGCTTGTACATTTCTTGGCTTAATTGACATTCACATGAGCTTAGGTGGCTATAGGTGCATTGCTATCATCTTGTACAGAACTGAAATAGAGATTTAACAAAAGGCACAGGAGAAGAAACACAAAAGTAAGAAAATTATGAGGTTTCTCCCCATTACCAGGCTTTTGAATAAAGTGGGGATATTAGAAGGACTATATTAAGGATAAGACAAAGAATGAGAATAAAAAAAAACAATATGATGAAAACAAGTCCAAATCAAAACATTAGAAGCATAACTTTGGCTTGTTGGCATCAGGTGCTTTTTGTTAAAAAACTCCCATATCCTCATCTCGGTAAGGGTAATTGTAATAAACCCCCAAAACAGAATAAAAAATTTCTACAATTTGTCCCACTAAATAACTTCTTACATTTTATGACTCCTTTATCAATAAATGCAAGCTTTTTGGAAACAGATTAAATTCTTAGTGTATAAGTATTCATCTTTATACTCCTACCATCACATATTTTTGAAATCATTCATTCTTAGGTCAATATATAAACAGGAACAGCATTCAAGAGATGAATGTGGCATCAAATGGCAGCGACAGATCCTCAAATATTCCCCTAAAATGCAAATGCTCTAATGCTACCTGTCATGTGAATAAAGTCACCCAGAAAGAAAAGAATCCAGATTCAGAGCTAAAAAGATCTTAAAGACACTAAATAGAGCCTGTTTTAAGCTTCACAGAGAGCAAACTTCAAATAAAATGTCAATAACTTAAGTGGAAATTTCATGCTACACTCATCTGGTTTCAGAACAAACTTATTTAAGGAAGATTTCATGCTAACTACAGAAGCACATTGACAAAAATTGCATTTTAACGCTAGTAACACACCAACTAAGTCGGGACGGCATGCAAATTCATTGCATTCCAAAAGTGGTTGCACACACCCAGTGCACAGGCCAGCCCGTGCATTAAACAAAACTTTGATTTATCACAGTCAGTGTTTATGTGCTGCAGGAGCAAAGCTTCTCTGTTTACTGATTACCTTTTAATCACTTGGTCTGTAAAGAAATGCAGCCATGATGGACAGCATCCTACACAAGTTATTGCAGTAACCTAACCTCATACTGCAAAATATTCAAGGATTAAAGATCCAATAGGAGTTATTTTTGTCAAAGGAAAAAATAACTTACTTGTGAATACACAAAGAAAATAAATTATTTTAAAGTTCTTGTTTTGAGCCAAGTTTCTGTACAAAATGTCTTGTACATATCATTAGCAGGTCTATCAATAATAGTGGAGGATGCTGTATATCTACAATTAGGCCATTTCATAAGGACAATCCTCTTTCAAATCACTGCTTAAAGAATAATAACAACAAAATAGCTGCATAAAATATTATATGCGTAGATCTGCAATGGCTTGGCTCAGGCTGGCTTTAACAAAAAAAATAAAATAATAATAATAATCTCCCTCAAAAGAGCACAGGTAATGGCAGGGCACCTGCTGTATGAAGCAATGCCAAAAAAAGACTTTGCAGTTCAGACTCTATCTTTGTTTTGAACTTTTATCATGCCAGTGACTACAGAACCAGTCTGCAGGTTGAACCATAAGGCACAGGATCAGAGAGACGGGATCAAACAGGTCACACAAAGTTTAAACTAGCGAGGAAAAAAACAACTCCTCTTTTATTATTTTCTAGAGCACTGCTTTTTGGATAACTCCCAATATCAATGGAGGCATTCCACAACACGTGGAAAGCAATTGATGCTAACTTAGGCTTCCTCACTATAACTCCATTTTCACTTTCTAACACTAAATCTGCTCAATTTTCACTCAGCTCAAGTGAGAACCTATACGACTTCTATTCTGGTAGCTGAAAATTGCTTTGCACACCTCCTGTTGAAAAACAGCATCATGCACCACATGTCTCACATGATCTATCCATCTCAGGGAGTTTGCCTGGGTAAATCTGAGGGGCAGATAGCCAGAAATAGAAAATGTGCTAATAAAAACTCACAGCCAAAGCACTTTTTCCAAATTCCGAAAAAAAAAGCCTGAAAAAATTAGCACCCTTAATGAGAAAATCCAATGTACTCAGAAGGGATGGAACAAGCATTACTTTAAAAATCCATCAAAAGAAATGCCTATTTAACATATTAACAAAAAAGCAAGAATGTGTCACATTTTTTTAGAGTATAAAAGCAGCAAAAAGCATCCAAGAATTTGGAGCAAACCTCAGCCTTAAAGATGCAGTAAATAGAAAAGAAGTGAGGTTTATCAAATTTGACCTCTGATGGGTTGCTTGAAGTTATTAAATCCATCTGCGTTTCTGTGTTCATTTGGATTCGGTTTTCAGCACCATTGTTTAATTCTAGCAAAGAAAATGGAAGGCAATATCTACAATTGACCTGATTTACTCTTTACAACCAAAGCCAGCCCAAGTTGTAAGGGGTTCAAAGGGTAAACTGATTTTAGAGCCAATTTTGAACCAGTTCCCAACCAGTAACTAAAGCATCACAGATATTTCTTATAAATTACATGATGGAATGTGAACAGTATAGTACTTGTTGATTAAGGATCTAATGTAATTGCAGTTTCTGACCTTCTCAGTGGGCAAGGCAGATGTTACGGTAAAGCAGGTTAATTTAAAAAAAAAAAAACATCAAAGTTTCATGAAGGAGGAGCAATTTTTAAAAGACACAAATCATTAAATACTATTAATTTATACTCTATATATATTTGCAAAAGTGCTAAATTAGCAAAAAACAAACCCAGGAGAGAAACTAGGGTTTTTTTCTGGCAAATACAGATTAGAATTTTTCATTTTCTGACCTGCAAATTCCTTGCTGCAGGTTCTTTAATAATAGCTTTGAATCACAAAGGAATTTAAGAATTTACTTTTAAGACTCTTGCAGTTTGTGCATCAAAATGCATAAACTCTATATAAATTTCTGAAGTCAATTACGTATGTGTGGGAATTCCAAGCATTGACATAATAATGAATGAGGGAAAATTGCAAATAAGGATATTGAAGGAACACATTTTTAAACAGTTTGATCTACTGCTCTATGATCATAGATGATCAAGGTAAAACATGCCGAACAATCCTTTAAGATTTTCATCTTAATGATTACAGCTTATAAATTTACCACGTCTTTTATATTTGAAAGGAATTTTAATTTAAGATAGTAAAATTATTTTCACTCAGAACAACAGTTGATATGCTTCAGAATCATATCAACTTTCCTGCATTCCTTCACATTGTTTCATCTCCAATTCAACTTTCTTTATGCCAATTGTGTTCAATTTGTTCACATTGTGTATTTTTAGCTTTTTCATCAGCCCCAAGAAAGCTTTGGGACATTAAGCAGCTTACCCCTTCAGTTAGGGTTTGGGTCGGCTCTGCTTGTAACTAATATTGAAAATACCACCAACAAATTATCTAATACTGCCTTCTTTTCCTAAAACTTGTTCTAGTTTCTCCTACTGCTTCTCTTCTATCGCAAAACGCAAAAAAAAAAGTAGTACAGACCGAAGGAAGAAATACACCTTTGGTATTTAGAATCAGCTGAAAACCTTTCTAAGAATACCATGTTTTAAATCGACTAATAACTGGTCTATTGATTTTTTTTTTAACATACTATGATGGGAAAATTAATGTAGACAATAGATAAAATAAAACACCTGGAGGGAAGTTTTGGGACCCTGAGCAGTGCGGGCCCTGGTGGTGTAGGGTTGTAAAGGCAAGCTTGTTCCAGTGGATCAATGCAACTTTGTGGTTAAGGAGACTTTATACATTATTAGATTTCACTGTTGTTGCAGAGGTATTAAGTAAGGCTAGCCCTTTTTTATCAGCGCTATAGAATGACTCCATATGGATCTCAATGAGCATTCTGTGCGCAGAAATATGGTGCTTAGGTTCAGATAATAGATGAGAGACATGAAGACTATCTGGTAGGTTATTTGCATTTACTTTCCTACTTATTCGTATGTTTTAAGATCTAGTTTAAGGTTGCATTATGATTACTGACTTCCTCTGAGTTCTATGCACTTTTTTTACCCTGGTAATAGTACCCCAAAGGGCTCAAAGATGTAGATGAAGAAAAAAAAGGAATAGCAAGGTTGGTTCCTGCATCTACTGCTGGTTTCCAGAGACTAAACTGTTGGAATGCATCTCATGTGCAAGCTAACAGTCCCTATAATTAGTCAAGGTAAAGGTGAACTCCCCCACCCACCTCAAAGGGAGCTCTGGTGTTGAATGTGTTAAAGTCATTAAGGTCAACGTGAAGGTTAAAGACTGAGAAAACAGAAAGAAGAAAAAGCCCTTTCTTCCAATCCCAACACTCCAAGGCAACTGAGTGCTGGTAGATGGAGGGAAAAAAAGCATTTACAGACAGGAGGAGGGGGGGTGGCTCCTCACTGCATCTGTCCTGTTAGAGATCACTGTGTCTCCATTGGAAGCATCACTATATTCCACACATACACTCACTCACCCATGAAAACATCCTTCCTGTTGAGTCCGAATCCATCCCAAGACCAACCACCCACAAAGAGGCACATACATTCCTCGCGAGCATGCAAACTTTCAGGAATATTAGCACTGAGGGTTATGTCTCCACAGATGGAGGGATTTAGAGGCATTTTGTTCTGTAAGCGCTTATCCATGGGTTTGCTTTCACAGAGCGGAGAATCCAAGAGCCATAAAAAGGGAAAACCCTTTAGGAGACGTGCGGAGAAGAAGACGGGTGTCTCCAGAAACACCAGCCTCGTTTGGTGTGCTGCTTGCGTAGGATCTCCTCCTCACGCTCACGCTCCTTTTGAGAGCGGAGGTAGCGGTCTTCCTCCTTCAAGAACCACACAGGAGGCCAACGCTGCTTTTCAAAGTGCCTCTGGTTTTCTGCAAGAAAGAAGCAAAATTGTACTCAAAAAAAAAAATAAATTGCTTGTTCCAACTCTTGTGTAACTGGTATTGGTTGGTGTATATGGTAGGAGGTCAATGTAGCTCCAGAATGTGGAGGAAATTCTACATTTTGGTTGACACTAAAACTGTAGCATGACAGCAAACAGAAAAAAAAAATGATTTAGTGAATCAGGCTTTAGGGCCAGGAGATACAAGGAGACCACAGCGTACCTGGAGACATAGCTTTCATGTCTTTGGGAAACTTGCGACAGATGCTGTTATAATTTGTGCAGATGTGATGAAGACACCAAGCAGAGAGCTGTTTGGCATTGTGGAACTGTGAAAAGAAAAAAAAATAAATAAATAAATAAAAGAGTATTACTGAATGAATGAAATGAATACAAATTCACCATAAATTACCACAACTACTACTGCATCAACTTAAACAGATCTGTTTGCACAAAATAACTAGGGATGTACTTTTAAGTCAAAACACAGAAGATGGAAACACACCTGTGCAACTTCAAGATAAGCTAACACCTGCCCATCGATGTCCACTCCTTTTGCTGCCAGATGAAGTAGCTCATCCACAGCATGCTGCTCTAAAGAGGCCCAAAATGAACAGAATCGTGTCAGTCGTGTCAGTGTTTGTGTGCACCACTGACAAGTCACTCTGTCATCATTTGTGTCAGACTGCATCAGAGCCAACTACATATAAATAAGCTGTTCTGTTGCATTCACTTTGCAGGAGATATTGAAGTAATGGGGCATAAGTCTCTGCTGTGTTTGTAGTGCTTCAGACTCTTAAGTCCTTACCAGTGAGGGCAACAAGTCGTGGCAAACAGAGACGGTTTGCCACAATGATCAGTTCCATTGATTCCAGTCCAGGACATGGTGTCAGGAGACCACAATATAAGAACTCGAGCACTCCACGCATGCATGCTGTACTGGTGTTTGGAATCGATACCTAGGATATGATTACAGGGAGACAAGACGGAGGGAAAACTTTAACATCCTGCAGAATAATGCAGTTACTCTAATATGTGTTAGATTCAAAACAAATTATGGATGAGTAACATTTCTAGTACTTGTTTTACATTTTTAATTTATACTTTCCCTTAAAATGACTCAACACATACACATAAATGCAGTTGTATTTATACATTTTTTTTTCTACACCAGCTTGTTTCTTTAAGATCAAAGAGGTCTTGTGCATCTCCAGTAGTCTTTGGGTTAAAGGCAGGGGACACCCTGGACAGATGGCTAACCATCACAGGGTGACAACACCAGGATCATTTATACAAAAACAAAAAGGATATCATGTTGATTTTAATGTGGCCTAGTCCATGTAGAGACGTTATATACTCCACAATCCTCTAAAAAGGATGCACTGTAATTACAGTACACATGATATGTATAAATCCATCAGCAGCTAATGAAGTGTAATCCCCAGGAGGACGGAAGGAAGGTAAACCATTATGATAGAGATGACCCGACCCCCTCCAGTATCCTTTTAAGCCTACCCACTGTGGCACTTTATAGACTCCACTTTCATAAGCAATTAAGAGAATGTCACCGTGTTGCGACCTCTTGCTGTCCCAGAGAAGGGTGGTTTCTGGAGGTTAAACTCCAGCTATGCCACCCGTTGCATTGATGAATGGACTCTGACGTAGTGACATTTATGATAGAAGCCATAATCTGCACAAATGGTATTTTAGCCCTTTAGAATACCACTTTTATCAGTTTACTACTTGGGGGTAAAAATTGAATGATAATGACCTGTTTGATTGGTGCTGTGCATAGCCAGAGTGCTATAGGCTTCTTGATCAAAAGTGTTTCTCAACATGTACACAGTACTTTACTGCTATATTACAGTTATGTTCCCCAGGTAGCAAATCCTAAACATCCGGCAGTCACCTCTGAGTCATTTTAAATCCTTTTATCTATATTTGCTTTGGCCACTGTTTACATCCCATTGCAAGGCTACACCTCAGAAGCTGAAAAACTTTGCTGAGCGGATGACAGATGTGCAGGAAAAACATTCCCTTTCTAATCACTGTTCTTGGGGATTTAGCCTTTAGTGTCCCACCAGGGATTAAAAAAAAAGAACTATGTTATTATGAAATCCGCAATATATCATCTTTTTACTGTATTGAAATAAATTGGGATAAATCGTATAATGACACATTTATCAATACATATATAATTGCTAAACTTTTGCCGATTCCCCCCTAAAATGTCTTGCCTGCCCTTACATTGGGCCTCAAATTTCTTAACTTCGTCACTGGTCAAAGATGTATTATGATCGTTTTATCTGATATTGAATCTTTAAAAGAGTTTTTAATTCGCAACTCCAAACGTTTTTTTCTAATATGCATAAAATCATTTCTTATTCTCATAAACCAAATACCATGTACTGTATTGTCTCAGGAACTATAATTATTACACTCAAAGTAATCAAATACTGCTAATAATAAGTAGAACTGTTTCTAAATTAAGAATGACGAATACTCAAGTACAGTGTGTTTAGTATTTAATTAAGTCCATGACCTTCCAACAAATAATAAAATAAATAATGAAAATAAAAACAAAATCACAGTTAATGTATTGTTTATTATTTACTGTTGGCTGGATCCTATCACAAATTAAACTTTAACTATATCAGTGGAAATTATTTATTTATAGCAATTCTGAATGATTCATGTTTTCAGACTAATTACCTTTAATGGCAGACTTTAAAAAGATATTGTAGATTCTGATTATGTAACACAGCCAGAAGAAATTCATAATAAAGTCAGTGTTTACAGTTGGTCGGATCAGGTTAGGTTAAGTTAAAATGCCAAAAGAAACTGGGCCAAAGGGGAGACCACTGAGATAGCCGGAACTATCTGTGGGGAAATGCTGGTCTTAGAGGAGGGACTCTTGCTTGCTTGAGGATGTACTACTGTCATAAGAGCAGTGCACTTTATGAGCTATTATCATTTGGCGGCCTCCATGCTATTTTTCAATGTTTCATAACAGGGTTCACACTTATCAACCCAAGAGTTTGACAATTCACATGGGAAACAGCAGCCACAAACTAAACCAAAATGAGGCCACAGGCAGCAATTTGTCATAACAGTAGCTGTGGTTTTAACTGAGGTACAGAATGTTGCTTGAAAGAACAACAGGAAGTCCGGAAGCATTGCTCTGCATGTGTTTATATGTGTAAATTAGCTTAATTTATCTCCATGGTAACACATATTTCTACAACTAGATATTGCACTTCAAACAAAACAAGACAGTAGTAAAGTGCTGGACAGTGATTCAAAGATTGACAGGGCAGTCTATTGTGTAGGGGAAGCATTTAATCATATGATGGGAACTGTGTGAATCCTGATCATGTGTCAGTCTTTCAGGGTTGTGGTTATTTGAAGAACTTTAACCACGCCGCCACACCAAAGCGTCTAACAAAGATTAGTAGGTCGATCTGATAGAGAGGCTTATTCTGAATACAGCCCTATGGTCATCAAAGTGATAACATCCATCCAAATAACACCTCTGTTTGTATGATGTTTTTATGCTTATATTGTCAGATGTTACAAGCTGTATACCTCTGTGTGATCTAAGGCACGTTACAAAACCTTTTTATAACAACTAGGAGAGTTTTCTGTGGGTAATCTACACTGCGCTTCTATTTTCACTGACATGAAAATAGTATGGTAAACTGTCAGAAAATGTCTTACCCCATATAGGCAGGTATTGAGTTTGTTTTAAATTACCACATACTGGGTGGAACTATCTGCAAATTTTTATTAATTCATTCATTTTAATTGGACTTTAAACACAAACACATGTTTTCAGTCACCTGGGGTCAGTGAAACTAAAACAATTAGGGTTGGAAATAATACATATTTTGAAGCAACCAAAAGAAATTGATCAACAGACTTTAGCTTTGAAACAAATAAAGCAGGCATTCTGCTCTTTTTGGTAAACTATTGTTTATGCCATATTTCTCGAGAGTGGATTGATATACTTTGGTTTCATATTGCAAGTACGATACAGATACGAAAAAATATTTGCATTAATACAAATTAAACTATTTGTCTTCAGTGTTGGAACAGTCACACGTTTTCCCGAGTTCAGTATCTTTATAAAATGGTGAAGAAATTGTTGAATATGGTTTTATAACTAATAATCCATCAATCTATGTATTCCTGTTTACTCCATCAGGGTCGCGGCGAAGCTGGTGACTATTTGCAGCAGTCTATGGGCGAAAAACCGAGTACAGCTCACCAATACATCACATAACTGAGAATAATGGCTTTTATTTTTGAGAGGTTAGAGCCTTTTTGTTTCCTCCTCTCTTCCTGCTTATCCTGGCCTGCAACTTGAAAGTTCATTGCAGCACATACTTGTACAAAGCTTGATTCTCTACTACACTTTAAGACTGTAATGGTTGTAGTGCAATCTAAGATTAATGCTCTAATATATGATTTCCAATTCTTGCTGCAGCTTAGATATGGTTCTAAACTTTATTTCAAACAACCTTAATTGACACCAGTTCCCAACAAATATCATCCTAAGGTACCTAATAAGAAAAGCGCATCTAATAAAGTGTTATGAATGTGCCAATGTATTTGGACAAATAAACAAATATAAAGTCAAAACAAATCAAAAAGTCTAATCTGATCTTAAATGTAATGCCCAACACCCTAACTCGGTTTATGGTGTTAATTGGCCTAATCATTCCCCTAATAAATCGACTTCCATGTTGCAGTGAATGGGAGGCACTCCTTGGCTGATTGAAGGTGAAAGAATGAATCTATTTAAATGCTGTGTTTGCAAATAATGAGAGTACAACTGAAAGGAAAGATGAATAGGTTCAAAATAAGTTGCATGAAAAAAATTGATGTAGACAACTTCAGCTTTATAATTGTCTGTTGCTCTGATGCAGGCAGTAGATAGAGAAAAAATCAAGTTTTTTGAATTGGCCACTATAATTTATTTTAACAGCATTGTGCTTTTAAACTCTTACGAGTGATAAGAATTCTTGAAAAATGTTTTTTTTTAATGTTTTGTCAGTTTATCAGGATTTAGAATTTCAATCCAATATATAAGATGAAAGGTACCTATATCCCTCTGTCTTATTTGGAAAACTCACCTCCTCGATGTAGCTTTCCATAAAGGAGCCACGGAACATGGCTGCCATCCAGTCACAGCTGGAGATGAGCAGGGGCTTGTGGGCCGGGAGGCAGCCGTCATCCAGTCGGAACACCACATCTGAAACCGGGGTGGGAAAAGAACGTTCATCTCGTGGAATGCCACAGAAGCCCAAACTACAGAAAGGAAAAGACAGACGAGACAGACGACCAGACACGCACACAGGCAGCAAGAGGGCCAGACAGACACAAAGAGACATGGACACAGGTAGACAGACAGAGAGATAAATTGACGAGGAGACAGAACCATGAAGGAGGGAAAGTAGGTACAGGGTCTTAAGCTATGCAGCACACCCAGATCTGTTAAAGTGAGCTGGGGAAAAACAAAGTGATTATGCTTGTGTGTTGATATTTTATAACTTACTTTCTATGTATTTGTTAATTTACTTAATCAAAACTCATAAGAGCTTCAAGGGAACAACAATAAGCATGATGACAGAGACATCACAAAGAGAGGGAAATGTCAAGTTTTGCTCAGAGGGGTAAACAACTCACACAAAGACAACACTAAAGGGAGAGACCACACTGCATCGTCGATACAGTATAAAGGATCAACATAAAAAGGCAGACTAACACAGCAGGCAGTCACAATGTCAAATGAAGCCTGTGAAAGAAGTCTGTCAAAATTTCTTTAAGACATAAAAATTTATATACATCTTGAAAATGAACCTGAAATAAACTGCAAAGAACTAGCAACATTTGCCCAGCCTTTCTGATATTCTCAATTTAACCTTCCATAGTCTTCACATCCATTTTATATATAATAAAACCCCTGTTCAAAGAAACTCATTGGCCTTTCTTTGCAAAAACTATACTGAGGACATCAATATCTAAAAGGCACAGACACTATATTAAATAATTTAATGTTTAATGACTGGCTTTGTGTCATACCAGCAAAGGTTCCTTTATTGAGGCACTCTTTGATGCGATTGGCTCTGCGAACATGGAAGGCCTTTGTGATCTCCTGATTCATGAAGCTCTCTCTGTTTAGAACATTGGCTACCATCATCCGAAGGTCGAACACCTCAAGCAACTCCGCAATGGTGGCCACCTGCATCAGATCCCCTCGGCTCTCATCCAGACTGCCTGTGTAAAGGTACTGAAGCACTGCCTGGAAATACAGCAAACCCAGAGGTCAAACTCACTGAAAACGTACAGGGCACGTAGTGCACAGTGCCAACTGATGAGAAATAAACGTCTCTCTCATTTTTGCTATATCTATCCAAAATAAATATTCAAATAAATGTGAATATAGGACAAAGTAATTTAAAGTGAATACAAAAGTATTTACTATAATTCCTGTGTTCAAGTGAGGATCTCTGTTATTAAGAAAGATTAATAAATGTAAAAAAAAAAATAATAATAATAATAATAATAAAAAAAACAAAATGTATTTTATCACCCACAATAATCACATTAAGTCCTATTTACTGCTAAAGCTGTAGAATCAATCTGAAAATAACACATGCCACAAGATTAAAAAAGCGACAAATAACGCCCCATAGGCACATGGGAAATGAGGTCAGTGGCATATTTTAGTCTTTGTATTTTTTAGATACAAAGTCACTACTAAGGTTCTGGGACATATATATAATATGAAAGTATTTTGAGAATAAAAAAATGACTTAAAAAATAAAAACATGAAACTGAAATAGAGAGAATTTTTTTGACAGAACTTTAAACAACAGTCATTTTAGACTTATACCTTAAACGGTTCCTCCTGTATCAGTTCATCCATGGCAACCACAGTCATGAGACGAGGCCGTCCAGTCATAGGATCATCGACATTCTCCAAACACACACTGAGGAACCCCCTACCCCATCCAGAAAGGGCTCGGCCTGTCCCAATTGCTCCCATTGAATATTGGGCGCGAGAGGGAAGTGCATTATCACTCTGTGAAGTCCTCAAAGAGCCTTGTTGGAGGAGCTCAGGTCGATTCAGGCACCGAACTCCTCCATCTACGCCCTCTTTATCAATGTCCAGGCTCTTAGTACGCCCAGCTTGCTCTTTGGCTCCTCTCCTGCTCTGCTCGTCTTCTTCTCCACTTTCTGTGTTTTCCTTGCTGTTCTCTTCCTCTCCCATTGCCCCAAAACTCAAGCCACCAAGATCAAGGGTGAAAAGGTCATAGAACTTGGAGCAGGACGTAGCCAGATAAACCTTGTGCGCAAAGACACGAGTAGAGCCACTTTGCAAAAGGAATAGAACATCTGCACAAAGAGGCTGACAGAAAAGGGCGTCAGGGTCTTTGCCATCATTCGGCGGTGGGTCTGGGATACCCACGATGGGGCGTGGTGGTCTAGGGGGCAGGAACGGTGCCTGGAGCAGGGGTCTCTGGACCTTTTTCAAATGGGACTTCCAGAACTGCAGGTGTCGACGGGAAATGAGGGCTGCACGGATGGCGTTGTCAAACACATCTTTGACTCCAAATTGGGCTACAATGCTGGTCTCATAGTAAGGAATTCCAAGCTCTTTTGCCACCTCATGGCCTCTCTCTGGAGGAAGGATGTCTGTTGGTTTGATGGGCCTGAGAGACATACATGAAAAGTTAAACCAAACAGATTTGAATCCTTTAAACCTGTTTTAAACTCAGAATCATAGGTAGCATGAAATTTACAAGCATGCAGGGCAGAAAGACAGTTGTTGCAGGGTTTGTTTCAGTATAAATGTTAATTCTTAATGGGAAAGGGGTCTCACTTTGCTAACGGCCGTCTCGCACGGTTAACTGCATCCAGGTCAGCATAGCGCAGATCCAGCTGGCAGCCGACCAAGATGATGGGTGTTCGGGGACAGAAGTGCTTGATCTCCGGAAACCACATGGTGCGAACATGGCGCAGGGAGTTGGGATTAGCCAGAGAGAAGCAGAGCACCACTACGTCAGACCTACAGAGGGAAATGAGAGAGAAAACTCTGTGGTTTGTGTACAAACAAAATAACAGAAAAGACACAGGTGGACCGGGGGACGCTGACTGGCTCTGACGAGAGCATGCAATTACAGTCAAGAGAGGACATTCGAGCTTTGATGGATGTATGAGAACAGAAAAGGGATAAAAAGAGCTGCTGCTGACTAATGGAACAGGATGTCAGTTTGTATTAGAAGTGGTGAAAAGGGCTTATGGAGGAAGGTTGTTTGGCTTCTGCAAGGAATAGAGGGAGACCTGATGGAGCTAATGTGAGCGCTTTGGAGAGTGTAGGTGTGTGTGTTTGTGTGGGTATGTGTGTGTGTGTGTGTGCTGGGGGGAGGTATTTGTTGTGCCTGAGCCTCTTTCTTTCTGGTGCATAAATCTTCATAAGACCTTAAGAGCAACAAGGGCCAAAAAAAGTGTTCTAAGAATAGTTCTGGATTTACGCTTACAATCAGATTCCACACATGTGTTTGAGCATGCAGACCGCAACTTTTGACATAAGATCTCTAACCCTGACAAGCAGATGCAAGTCTTCCTACTTCTAGGTACTGTTTAGGGTGGATAATTAACTTTTGCTGAAAAGACTAAAGATATTAGTAACCTATCAAATTTTGCAACACTGGGCAATGCAAGATTTTAGAAAGTGCAGCAAATGAAAAATCTATGTAAATGTTGCTTTATTTATCATCATGGGTAGCTTGGGGGCAATTTAATTCTATGACTATATTTCCTTTTTTGACAACTGCCAGGCATCCGGCACTTATCGGATGTCAGGTAAATAATTTACTGAACTTTAGAGCAGCATTATGTAACAATTATATATGGCTCATTTCCTTGAGCAAAATACCTACATGCCAGAAGTTATGAGGTGTTTAATTAGACAACAAATGCCGTGCTGTTGAAGAAATGTAGGAATCTAGATGTAGTGCTATTTCACAATCTTGGAAAATTCTTGGAGAGGCTTTGTGAACTAATATGATAGAGCCAATACATTAAGGGAACCTGATGTTCAATAGCCAAGTTCATTCACCTCTGTAGAATAAAGACGTAATCAGCTGGGATATGTTAGCTGTTCCAATTTCAAAGTCCTCTTTATTTTCACCAAGATAATCTCTGAAACGCTCTCAAGGACATAATATACAACAGCAGGGAATTTAATCACAGCACACACATATGCACGCACATAAAGCGCTATTAGCACTTTTTTTAAAGGACTAGTCCTCGGCTTTGTCAGAGAGGTGTATATGCAGCATATACACATATGTATACGTATATGTGTATATATATATATATATATATATACATACATACATACATACATATGCATCTATTACATTTTATAGATATTATATATACAGTATAATTTGCAGAAAAAGAAAAAAACACGCTGACTCATCTAACACTTGGTTTGACCTATTTTCTAGCAGTTCTTGTTTTCCTAAACTCCTTCTAATAAGGCATGTGATGATATGAACTTCTGAGTTTTATGTCAACAAAACCATATCGAGGTGTGAGGAGGGTCAAAGAGCAGCTACAGGAGTTAGCCATGCTACTGAATTAGTCTTAAGCATTAAGGAAAAGGGGGTGCAATGTTGACTAAGACAAACTAGTATAAGTCAGGTTGGAAGAAAAAAAACGGATGATGAGTAAGAAAGAATACGTTGTTTTCATGCAGGGCAAAACCAGCTGAGCTGGCACCGTGTTTCTAATCAGCTGACTCCAGACTCACAGGGTGGATATATGTGCACACAAACATGCACACACCCAAACAAAACACACACCCGCAAACAGGAGCAGATCATCAAGCAAATGTAGAGATATTCAGACAATGGGTAAACACAACAGAAGGGTGGAAACTTGAACTGCAAACTAACCTACATGCAGTTGACAAATGCATAAATGAATTCTGTCACGTACAAAGCCTCCATGTAAAAGGGAACAAGGTGACACCTTATGCAAACTCCCTCCAAACCACTTTGACACATCTTACAGGAGTCGCAGTCCAATGAGCACAAAATGTTTCTGTACTGATTACTGAGAAAATTCATAATCTTATTGTACACAAGAATAAAACATCATAAAACATTAAAAGGAATACCAAAATGCCTCTTAAAAAGGGAGCTAGCTTTTTATTTACAGTCTACGATGAAATAAACCTAAAAGGTGGGCAGGATGCATCATCTATTTGCCATGTAATTCTAATGTATTTCGAGGTAAGGTCAGTAAAATCTTGCAACTTTACTTTCATATCTGGCATTTACTGAATATTTTCAAACAAAAAAAGATTTTGCATTAAAAATCAGCTTTGATGAGAGAAGGTATAACAGGAGGATACAGGGATCATCCTTTCATCTCTTGTGGAGGAAGAATTTAACAGCTTGAAAGAGGTTTGACTTAAAAGTGTTCGTCCCTTATATAGTTTAAATCGTCTTTTAGAACTAAATTACTAACCCCATTTGTTGATATTCTGATTTGATTTGCTTTTGTTTTTATTATTATTCCTCATGGGAATAAGTAGTTTCTTTAATTATAATACAAACTTTCAAACTTCCAAATCAAGTCTAATATATGTTTAACTCTAATTGATAGTCGGTCTGATAAAATAACTGGAAACTAAGCTCCAAGCTACATTAAAACCATCTTAGGTAACTAACCTTGATTTCTACCATCAGTTACATTTTAGGCTTAGTAACTAATTTCAGGCTTGTGCACAGCCTCAAGCCAAGGGCTTATATGCACGCTCACCTGCCGTAGGCAAATCGCCTGTCTTTGTGATGATCTCCAAATGTGTCCCAAAGCCTCAGGGACACACTGACCTCATCCACCACATCCCGAGATCTCTCCAGTACCTATATGTGGAGAAATATCAGAAAAAAAATAGGAAATGTTTTTTCATTTATTTGCAAGATTTGAATTTTAGTGGGATTAAAGGAATACGATTTAAAAAAAAACAAGGTACAGACTAGATGATGTACAGAGGCTTTTGATATCAAATATTTTATCTGACAGAATAACAGAGTTAGTCACAGGAAGGTTTTGTCTATCTAAGACTTCTTTTCCTTCCTTCCTGTCTGCCTGCGTGTTTTCCTGTTTCCGGCCTGACTGAGAACCATTTTTTCTTATGTTATCAACAGAGGCAGGTCGCGTTGTTGTAAAGTGAGGACATTTTCTGGTGAAACTATAATTAGTGAATCAAATAGTGTTCTGGGCTAGGGTGGAGTATAAACTGGTGCTGGTTAGGTTTAGGGTTACTGTCAGCATTTAGGTTAAGAAAGGGTTGAAAATGACTAAAAGTCAATGGAAGTTGACACATGGTCCTTACTACATACAGCAAAATAAGTCTTTACTTGGGTGTGTGTTTATTATAACTCACTGCAAAGTGAGGAGATTTTTTGCTCATTTTACTTGTAAAATGAGGACATTTATGCAAAGCCAGGATATTTTACTGGTCCTCACTTTGTTAGCTTAGATTTAGGGGTAAGGTGTGATTTAGGTTTAGGTCAAGATTAGGCTAAGGTATGTACCAGTCATGGTTAGGTTTTGGGTAAATGTCATGGTTAGGCTGTAGAAAGGGTAGAAAATGAACGGAAGTCAATGGAAATGCATGCAAGGTGTGCATGTGTGAGGGTGTGTGTGTGTGCCCACCTCCTGGCATACTCGATACTGGTCGATGGCCCAGACGGTTGGCACGTGGGTGGCAAGCAGCTGATACTGTGTGAGCGTGGCATTGCAGGCCCGGGCGCAGATTAGCCTGGTTTTACCTACTGCATTGTCCCCCACCACCACACACTTAATGGTTTCCACATTGGGCCGCTCATAGTCTGTGTCAATATCCATGGAGAGGGCCCTGGAGAACATGAGACACAAGAGCAAAAAAAAGAGAAGAGAACAGGTTAATCCAATATGTATTAAAATGGAAAGTTTTAGAAATCCCTACAGCTGGAATGACAAATCATTTTCTTATATGACAGCCAGGAGCACCGGGAGCAGTAATTCTCATCAAAGTCCCAACCAATAGAAAGCATTGGATCAAAGCACCCAATGCTGCATTGTCCAGAGCACAGAGACCTCTGTCAAACGCCACAACAGAACACATGGTTCCCAGTCACAGGGTGAGCAATAGAGACTGCAGAGCTATTTCTGTATCAGCACAAAGGGAGAAAGAGAAGGATGAACAAAGAGAGACTTCCCTGGAGGTCACTATCCTCAGCTTCCCTTGTGCCATCTGTACCCAGTCTGCCACCCTTTTAATACACCCATGAGCATTTTCACATTAGTCTAAGCAAAATGTAAAAAAAAAAAAAAAAAAAAAGAAACCATCTAACTTTACCTCACAAACTATAAGTTCTCCATCAGCTGAGATGGGGATTAGCTTTGTTTGCTTTGGTTTTGTTTTCGATCTAATGTTTTTTTACAGCTTTGAAAATTTATTTAAACTTATATAGTTTAAACAACATGTTTACTTTGGTTATGATTAGGATGTATGAGGATCATCTAGTTCAGCTCGCACCTGAGGTTGTTTATGATGGCTGAAAGGAGAGGGGACAGCTGGCCACCTTACTATAAAACAGGTGACATAACAGTAGTTTTAACAGTTGTTCATTAGTTTTAGCTACATATAATACAGTTCACCAGGTAGGATCAGATAGGAAGTTTATGTGAGTGTGAGGAAACAGTGAATAGTCCAACTACATAAAAATACTTGAGTAGAAATTTTAATTATGCAGTTATATTGTTAGATCCAATATAGTTATCAAATATATATGCAGAAACTTCATATATATTTGATATATATGCATTTATATTTTATGCATATATATATGCACAAATTTTACAAAGTAAAAGTTTTTTTTTCTATTCTTCCCACATCATTGAAAGTCTACTGTATTTAGATCAATGTGAATCTCTAGCATCTGCATAATAGGGCTGAAGAACTCATTAAATATATTTTCTATCTTATCAAAGCTACTAAGTACTTTGTATAATATAATAACCCTTTTTATGATTTAGACTATTAATATTTAGAAGTACATTTATCTTTTCAAACTGCAGTTTGTCTAATCCTACAATGTGAAATGCAAAAATTGTTCTAATATGGCTTTACAATTAATAGTTTTATGGATTTTCTTTCTCCCTTGAATTTCATAATAGAAGATGACAAATGAAAGATGTTATTTTTAAAAACTAATTTACATATCAACGTCTCTTTCAGGCGTTTACCTAAATTTAAAGGACAACGAAATTCCATCTGTAAAACATCCCTTTAAGAAGATCATGTTTTACACCCATCAATGAAAATAAAGCATACCAGCAGCTAGTAGTTTTACACAGTGAGCTAGTTTGGCAGTAATGAGAAGACAGAAGAATGGATATCACTGAGCTGTTGAAAAAAAAAAAATAAAGATTTTACAAAAACTACAAAAAATGTGATAAATCCATAAAATAAATTTATGTTATTCGTCTTCTCAAGGGTTAAAAGAAAACTTATATAATGAATGCATGATTGAGCACCTTGTAGCTTAACCTCAGTCCAAGGTGGAAGTACTGTAGCACAACCTAACCGACTTCCTCTTTTAAACTGCACAAACGCTGTAAAAAGCTTATCAAAATCCACTTATCATTAAACAGCTTACAAACATTTCTGACATGTGCAAATACTCTCTAATGCTGCCCATTTAAAGATTTCCTGACAATAAAAAAAGGCTGCACAAGAAAAAAAAAAAAAAAAATCACCCCAGACGTGTTCAAAGTCTGCAATCATCTAGTCAGCCCATCCGTCGTTCCAAACTCGCTCCAAGAGCCACAGCGGGACCCCATAAATAGAGCAACTGAAACATTCATAAAGGACTTCACTAGTTATTCCATTGACGTACAACGCCAGCACAAAGCCTGAACCCGGTCCAGGAGTGACAGACACTAGTAGCTAAAAATGAGCATTATTCATCAGACATGTAAACCATGCATCCTGTTATCCAGTCATAACCTAGTTTTTTTTTTTTTTTTTTTGCATATTTAGAACCTCCATTCAATCTGCAAAACACAGCGTTTCATTCTACTGAAACACCTTTTTCATCAAAACTTGAGACATATCTGTGTTTATAGATTTCCCTCTAAAGCAAGTCAAATAACCTAAACCTGGATGTTAAGATATGATACCTATCTATCTGGTAAAGAAGAGAAAGAGTTAACAAAAGGTGCTTTTTTTTTCCCGGCACGTTGCCCGACTATGACTTTGGGAGTTATAAATATCCCTTTCCCTTTGCCACCTGTGTGGCTGTGACACATTTAGAGGCACGTACTACTGGGAGACAGGAGATGCAATAAAAGTAGCGCAGCCTTGCAGTTATCGAACAGCAGTAAGACAAATGTTGAAGGCAGGTGTCAATGCAGCACTCATCTTTGTGTTATGAGAAAATATGACAAGAACTACAAGTTATGAAAGCAACAGTTGTTCAAATGATGCTCTGTGTTATTCACCTGTTTGAAAGGACACATCATAGTGGTGAGAAAATGATGCTAGCGCTGAAAGACCCCAGGAAAGAGAATGTTTACTTTGCTTAAATCCCAGTTCTTCCTGTTTGACAATAGATATGCAGAAAATTGCAAAAAAAAAAAAAGATAAAACACAGGAAGGTAATTGTTATCTTTTATCTTTCTAAAAGAGAGGGATCAGCGTTGGAGCAATTAAGTCATGCCAATGGGGATCAAAAGCGCAGGACTGGCAATAACCAAGGCAGCACAAGGGAACAAATCCCAGCTTTTCAATCTAATGTGTCTCTTCCCTGAATATTTTAATTCCCTCATGTAGAGAAATAAATGGAGAAAAGTAGAGAAGTCAAATAAAGAGTGCAGTCTATAATCCTTTGTCACCACTTTTGAGTCTGGAAGTCAACACTAACATACAAGAGATGCATGTGCTCAAGTGTGGTAATGAGCCTAGGGTTATCAGTGCAGTGATGTTACCAGAAGGTGGCAGCGCTGGCAGTGTGGGGATGTCACAGCTAAGCATCAGTTACCACATAAAAGTAAAAGCTCATAGTTCAGGCCCAATGGGCTATATGCCCAACTCCAGTAGTCCTCGAACTTCAGCCAGCTCCTTG